CGCTCCCCTGACCGCGGGTCTGTCCCCCCCCGCAGCCATGCCCGGCTCGGACGCGGCCCCGCAGCGCTCCCCCAGCCACAGGCAGAACGGCGCGGGGCCCGAGGAACACCCCGCACGGCTGCGCTTCTCCAAGCTGTCCCAGAACGCGTTCGCCCCCTCCAGAGGCTCTGCCAGGGCTGCGGGCTACGATCTGTACAGGTGAGGTTCCAGGTGTTCCCTGCGTTCCGGACACGTGCAGCGGGGCTGGTGGTTCCCTGCGCCCTGTTCCCGCCGGCAATCGGCACTAGTTGCAGCTGAACCCCGTTACAATCTTAACTACCTTCCCCTTCCCAGCATCACTTGGAATAGACAGCCTGTGTCAGCCTGAAGCCTTGCTTCACGCCTGACGCTTTTCCTTTGTATTCCCGTCCAGGTTTGGTTTTGTTCCTGCCCCACTGGGTGCACTGCACCCTTGGAAAAAGTCAGTTTCATAAAAACACCTTTCTCTGCTTCTGTGTTTGAAAATCAGTGTTTATCAAGGCCAAGATACGCTTGCCTTAACCAAGTGGAACAGGCTCTGTTTTGCACCTTAACTTACAGAGAAGAAAGTTTTCAAAATATTCTGCATAAACTGGAATTTCTTTCTTTAATGCAGTGCCTATGACTGCACGATACCGCCCATGGAAAAGGCTGTAGTGAAAACAGACATTCAGATTGCACTTCCTGCTGGATGCTATGGCCGAGTAGGTAAGTAAGCAGGCAATAAAAAGGCTGCAGAGACATTACAGAACAGTTCTGATGTCATCTTTACATGTAGATTCTGGCTGAAGCTTTCAGAATCCATCTGCATAAGAAAAGATGTCATGTGGTTGTTAAGCTTTGTCAGGTGTGTTTGAGGTTTGGTGTATGTCAAAGGACAAAAAGGTGATTTACACACAACTTTATAGGCTGTGCAGTAGTTCATTATTTCTCTGCAGTTTCAGAATCACAAAGACATAGGTAATGGACATACAGAAAATACAGCCTTGGATGTTTAAAAATTAACCCTGGAGCTCTAGTGTAACTAGTGTAGCAGAATTTGACTGGTTTTTGTGACAGAATACTTGAGAAAACCTGTACAAGGTATTTTATGTTTTGCGCTTTCTTTTTCTTAATTATGGATAAATTCTGAAAGTAAAAAAAACAACAGCCACTCCAGCAGAAGGGTATGATCAGAGTTTGCCACGTCCTTTCATCTAAAAGGAGAATGCATGTGCATTTCTCCCAGGGAAAATTCTGAAGAGAGTAACATCTTAGCACCTCATCAAATTAGGCTAAGGTAAGTAAAAAAACCAAAACAAAATCCTGCACATCATTATATCTGTATAGGCCATTTCTTAGTAAATTGCTTGCCAGATAGTGTTTTCCATCATAACTTGAACTGATTGACCTAATAGTCTCTTGAGATTATTCCAAACCAGGGTAGCTGCTGAAAATAAACCAAGATTAGTCAGTGTCTGCTCCAGCCACCTTACTTGGAGAAACTTACTCTGCTAATAGTGGTTGAAAAAAGATATGCTTGTATCACTTAAAGATTGTGATTTTGTTGTAGGCTGTAGCAGCTCTTACTTGAAGATACACAGTCCTTCCTGTAAATTCACGTTTATTTTAGAGAGAATGGAAAAAGGTCTTGTTTCCACTACTCTGTGCAAATGCACTAACCTATTAATATTGTCTAAGATTTTCAAAAGAAATAAGATTTACTTACCAAAAATTCTTGTTTTCTAGCACCACGTTCTGGTTTAGCTGCAAAGCACTTCATAGATGTTGGTGGTAAGATTTTTATTCTTTTTACCAAGACTTTGTAAATCTTGATTGCAGCATTTCCTTAATTTCACATCTGTATAAAGAAATAATGGTGGCTTCATTGGTAGTCTGGCTAAAGGAGATAACTGAGTTATACCTCAGAGAGCCAGTGCATCCTAATTACTTTAAAAACTGCTGAATTATTAAAATACTACTGATTTTTAAATATTATAAACATAGTGTACTTCTGTAGGCAGTGTCTGGCATAGCAGGTATTTTTTGGTTTAGGCTTGGCTCTGGAGGTGAGGCATCCTTCTCTTCCTGATGCCAAGCCAGCCAGAAAGCAAAGCATTTCCCAGTATAATTTAGAGCTGCTGCATAACTGCTTTATTGCATACCAATGTCTGGATGCACCTGTGATACAGTGCTGATACCATAGATTGAAGGGCAGCATCTGCACCAGCTTCATGTCATTCAGGCTTTGTCTTGTTAAACAAGAGTTGATTTTTGCGTATCTTTTACACTAAGGTTTTTTAAATGTTGTTGGTAACATACAAAAGAGTATTAAGATGGGAATCAGAGATTCTCTACACCCTAACGATGCTCTCTAGCATATACAATACATACATCACAAGTAAAATTAATACCACAGTTGTAAAACACTTCTTGATACATGATGGTGTTGGATGTCAATATGAGAGATACGGCAGTCATCTAATCTAAACTTACTGACAACATTTATTAACTGGATATCCCTCTTCATTCTTTCTTACTGCAGCTGGTGTTATTGATGAGGATTACAGGGGAAATGTTGGCGTGGTACTCTTCAACTTTGGCAAGGAGACTTTTCAAGGTAACTATTAAGCTTAGCTTTCCTGACAGGAAATGAGAGGCTAGTTTTACTTCATAAGTCTATGAAGAGTTAGAATTAGCTGGAAATATTTTTGTTCCTATTAACCAAAACATGGAGATGTCCTCAAGGAAACACAAAAAGATTTCACTCCTAGCAAGTTAGGCAGCATGCAAAAAAACTACAAACCAAACAAGAAAACCCAACCCAAAACACACCACTACAAAACCACAAAAAACCCCTACTTAGCTGAGCTTTAGATTCATGAGCTGTTCTGAAGCTCAACTTTGTATTAAGTTTCTTTCTCTGGAAAAAAAAAGAAAAAAGTTTTAGATGAGCAGTATCTGAGATAAAAGCTTTTCCAGGATCCTGGGAAACGAGTAATAAAAATACTTTTCCCTTACTCATAGTGTCTGCAAACAGTTTTAAGCCTGAGGGCCCAGTTACAATATTGCCAGTGTTTTTGCAGCCTTTTCTGAAACTTCACAGCACAAGCTTCTTAGGGAAGTTCTGTGAACCAGATTGGGTAATAAACAGAAATTTTGCTTTCCTTTTATCAATTTCAGTTTTTACCCCAGAGAAATCAGTTCCTGGGTCTAGTTCACAAAAGAAGCCACACTGTACATACAGCTGTCTCTGAAGTATTTATGCCTAATGATACCTAAGATACGAGAGTGTGGCAGCAAGAATAAGGGGGGATGCCTTGAGCTGGTACTGCTGCTGAAACTCCACCTTAAATGGACTAGGCACATGTTTATTTTACTCTGTATTTTTCTGGAACTATTAACATCTGCTTAAGTAAGTTTCAAGTAAGTGTTCACACAGGACATCCTGATGCTCTTGAAAGGGGATTGTCTAAACTTGGTATTGATTGTTCACGTTTTTTTAAAGGAACTAATAATACTTTAACTTCCTTGTAGTTAAAAAAGGGGATAGGATTGCCCAGCTCATCTGTGAGCGCATTTGCTATCCTGAGTTAGAAGAAGTTCAAGTAAGTTGCCTAAAGAAAATATTTCTGCTACTTTTAGTAGCTAATAGGTTAAGATATTTGTATATAAACTGAAATTTACAGTATAGATAAGTACTTTGCTTTAAAACTACTTTTGGTGTTAAAATTGCAGATTAGCACTGCTACCTGAATAAAAATTTGGATGCTTTGCATCATTTATGTTGTTTGATTTTTTGTAGTTTTCAGAGTTAACAGCTACTTGAGAAGCACTTCAGTATATACTATAAACATTTGTCTCACAATGTGGGATTTCTTTAAACTTGTACAAAAGGTATTCTAAAATGTCTCAAATTTTTTGGTTTAGTTTCTCAATTATGGTTATTTTTATGAGTAAATGTACTTTCCTCTATGATACATGATATCTGTTTATAAAAACAAAAAGCAAGTTAAGACTCTAAACCAACTTATAATTGATGTCTTTCAGGTTCTAGATGATACAGAACGTGGCGAAGGTGGTTTTGGTTCTACTGGAAAGAACTGAAAAATATTTGAATATGCTTATTTGTAGCACTCTTTCTAAATTTTAATTTGAATTAGATGTGAAATTTTTTATGCACTCCAAAATCTCAAGATTTATTAAGACTTGTCTGTATTTGTCCTCCTGTCGGATTTTACAGGCAGTGAAGTCATCTGCATTATGGGGAAATGTGCATGATTGATTCGATTGAGTAGTTGATGTATAATGCTTTCTTTTTCAGATGTTTGGTCCTTAGTAGTAAGAACTCATTGTTTATGTGCTTATTATACTCTAAAAAATAAAAAATAAAAAGTCAAGATTTGATTTCATTTTACTGACCTAAACTAAAATGGCTGGCTGTTCCCATGCCTGTTTGTATTAATGTTCTGAAAGCTGACTTCCCCCTAGCTCAGTATTTCATGCCAAGAGCCTATTTCATACACATTTGTTGATAATACAGGTACCAATACAACTTCCCACTCTGACCTCTAAAGCAGAATAAGGCAAAGATATTTAATGTTGCATCATCTGCCCCATTAAAATACTTGTGTTTCTGTTCAAAGCTCAAGTTCTGTCTTTAATCCTTAGCTGATCCTCAAACAACCAGTTTTTCAGCTCTCTATGGAAAAGCAGGCTCATCTGGAAACAATGTCTATATAGTAAATAAATGCTATTAAGTATGCTATTTAAATATTCATTAACACATTCATTAATAAGTTACTGTATGGAAGAAAAATTCTGAATTATTGAGCAGTTCACAAATTGGTCTTTTCAGTTCTATTTTGACCAGTTAACATAGACCTCTCTTGGCATCTGTCCTGAACCTGGTTGTGTCTAAATGTAGGAATCTCTTAAATGATTCCAAAGCTTTTGGGTACAAGAACAGACACACAAGAGACGGGACAAAAAGGAGATAATCCTAAATATTTTGCCACTTTACGGAAAACAATTAGAAAAGGTTGTGAGGCTCTCAAAGGTGTTTTTTTTTCCTTCAGCTGTCTGTATTCTCTTTTAGATTTTCATAGCTGAAAAGCCACAGGTGTGAAATACTGTGCTCTTAAGTAGTGTTTCAGCAGTGGAAAGGTGGGCCCTTTGGTAGACTTAAGATGTTCACAGCTTTCTTCTCCGTGGTAGTCGTAGATCACAGTAATCCTGTTGGTATTAGTTTCATGTCCTTGTGTAGGACTAACCATTTGCACTGAAGTAGGCCCAAAATATTGCTCATTTTATACATTTTGTCCCTCCTCCCTTCCCCAAGGAGCTGTAAAATAAAGTGTAATATGACACCATTCAGATTCCTTCAACCATAAGACAGCCATTACATTGACTTGGCAGGGCTGAAACAATAACTACATTCATCTTTGACTACTGCAGTCTTTCCCTCCATGTGCATTATATATTTATCAGTCCTTTTCTCTTTTTACCCTTACACACTTATCACAACACTTTGCTTAATCTTTGTACCCAGACCTTTATAAGCAGGCTTGCTGTGCAGAAGCCTATTGTGAGCACCTCACACCAATGAAGTTTTAAATGAATTGGAAAAGCTGATCTTGACAAAATGTTTCTTCTGTTCTATAACCTTTTGTGTAAAGCTGTTTGCTCTTGCTGGGCTGTAAATTGATAGTAAGTTTAGAGAAAGTTTTGCTGCTCCCCTTTTTTTTATCCTCACCTCTTGAACAACAACAAAAATACAGCAGAGGATACACTGATGCAAGTCCTTTTTGAAAGATACTGCAAGATGATCTTGCTTGGAACAGCAACCTACAAGGAAAACTTCAAGCTTTGTTGATACTTACCCTTTGTTGTTGCAAACTGATCTAATTTCCATTTTTGAAAGTAATACAAATTCTGAGATAAGAGGGAATAGTATTTACTAGAAAAATCACTAGCTCAGAAGCTCTCACAGATGCACAGGGAAGAAACATGAATTTACAGATCCATGCCTGCTGCGAGTTGTCAACACAGAGACTGTTCTCAAAGTGTCATTACTAGAAAGGGCTCACTTATTTTGAAAACTGGCATAGTTGAGTTCAAGGTTTCTCAATATTTATCTGGAGAGGCACATAATGAATTCAAGATTACTGGAAGGCTCTTCACTCTAGGACCTTGTAAAAGCATCTGTCTGAAACAACAGAAATGTTTTCACACTTTCAAGCTTACTCTATGCTAAACTGCCCATGCATCCAACCACTGCAATAGGGTAAGAAATTATGATAATTATTCTGTAATATTGGGGGTTTGCTTCAATAGAAAATCTAAAGTAGAAAAGTAGAAAATCTAAAGAAGACAAATGCTTCTCACTTAGCAACAAGAGCTACATCCCCATGTATTGAAAGTTCTGGGGCTGATGCTGCTGCACACCAGGGCCTGTATTGAAACCTGTAGAAACTTTTTGTACTGGAAAACAGTAGAGAACTCTTAAAATAGTATTTGCTACTTTCTGGTTCAAACCATGCTGCCTACACCTCTGCAGCCTTTTGTTTAAGCAAAGTCCCTCTATTTCATTAATATGAAAAGCAATACCCTCCACTCTTGCCTCTGGAACCAGAGCTCACTACAGGTGAGACTGAAGAGATGTAAAGCTCCACAGCAAGTCCAAAATACAATGTTATATGCAAAAAAAGGAAACTGAAATTACATTAAAATAAAATTATGTTGGGCTGCTTTCCATTATCACCAAACAGGTTCAGACAAAGTTATTTAAACTTCAACTGTCAGTGCAGGAGTAGAGACATGTTAACTCCAGGAGGAATTACCTGAAGCTTGGAGAATGATGGTGTGGAACTTCCTCTGTGCAAATGTAATGTGGAGCTTTTATAATGGAAAAATAATTTCTCATCTAAAGCAGAAAATGACTTTTTCCTGCAGGGAAAGGAAAAGAACATTACTAACAATCTGCTTCCTTTATTTTAGAAATGGATTTGACTTGTTACAAATAGAGAAAAATCTGACCTTCAATTCCAGGATAATCTGGAGGAGAATTATACCTCTTACAGTTCAGACACTTGCTCCAGATTCAGCCCCATGGTTTGGGTTATATTTTGAGACCTGAAACGGTTCTGTTTTCTGACTTGGACTAAAATATGTCAACTTGTATTTCCTTAGCAAGGCAGAAGCCAGTAAGCTGATGAGGGTCTTGAAGGAACAGGTGATAACAATACAATTCCTATGATTTGAACTCTCCACTCACAATTAAAAAAATATTAAAAGAAAAATTATTATAATGATACTATTGATTTTTAGTCCTTTACTTGATTCCCTAAAGCATTAATCTGATGTTTAGTGGTTGTGAATTTAAACACTACTTTCTCAGTTCAGCTACAGTTAAATTGCTCTGTCATGGCAAGAATTTTTTTTATTTCATGTTTTTTAGTAGATCAGCCACTAGATGGCACTTGGGGTTTGCTTTTTCTTTCCACTGTTTCCAGAGGTATTTTTAAAATATATTCATCTCTAATTAAGAGTTGATGACTCCCATTGGGACTGTGTTGGCAGAAAGCAAGATGCAGCAAAATTTGAGTGAAAGCAGGCAAAAGTATAATCATTAAAGGGGGAACAATGACTATAATTTAAATAAGATTTGGGTGGTTGCAGTGTTTGCCTAATCCCTCCTGGCATGCAAGAGCAGTAGAGAAGCCTGCGGCTTTGCTCTCCTGCTGTGTTTCAACAAAAATGGAAAATTCTAATGAAGAGCAACATTTTTCCTATCTTTCCTATTCAGTCTCTTCTTACTCCTCCTTCCTCCATTCCTTTAAGTGGAATGCAGCCTACTTAAGGATGGCATTGTAATCAAAGTAGTGTATATAGCTTGGTAAACCCCATTTTAGATTCTCCAAATCAGATGCCTCTTGCTGCAAGCTCAGGACATGAATTAAAACTTACGTAGCAAGTGTTAACCCAGGAAAAGCAGGTGACATATAGGAACCTGAATTACATGAATTTTTATTTAGGTTCCTTAGTTTCTGTATTGGTTGCTACTCCTGTAACAGCACAATCCAGGGCTCTTGTATTTGTCTTCCCTCACTGCTTCCCTTCTGATTTTTTATTTTTAATAACTATCATTGTATTTTGGCTTAAAGATGGTTAAATAGGTTTTGGTAGTAAGTAAACTCCTATGACCCTGCCTATTTCCTGTCCTGTCAAACCTTTCCTTGTAAGAATAACAGTGTCCTTTTATTTGGTGGAGTGTAGCATGATGTTTTTGGCAGGCCCAACATTTTTGACTTGCATAAATTTGTGACCTCAAGTGCAAGAAAAGTGAATGCTTGCTTCAGTGCCTCATGGTTTCTGCCTAAAAAGAAAAGTGTCCACATCACTAACCGTTAGAATTTCTGAAGGAAAATTATCAGCACACTTATTCCACCTGAATGCACATGACTGCACTTCCAAAGAAAAGAATCAGAAATAAAAATAAGTATTTTGTACCTAGTTATGTAAGGTATAAGAGTCTGCAAATGTAGGGCAGGCTGTGCTGCCTTTCTGGTTTCTAGAATTAGCACACATGGCACTTCCCTCAGCAACAGCCATTTGGCAACCCCTACCTCAGTAAGGAAGTGAGTCTGCGAAGTGTAGCTTTGGGTCTGCTGCTGGGCAAAGAATGTCACTGCATACTTAGAGGCTGCAGGATCAGGTCTGAAGTGAATTAATATAATTACTTTCCTAAACTTTCCCTCTGTTAACTGGGTGATTATTTAGCTCTTTAGCCCCAAAGTGATGTTTTTCCCCTACTCTGTTAGAGCACAGCAAGAAAACCTTTTATCCTGCCAGTCTGAAAACTTGACAGATTAATTTTATAATTTGAGATTCCTCATCCAGAAAGTAACTACTGTATTTTAATACGTAGAATATGCCTAAATAAACATATGTGAGATGTATATGCATACTTTTTTTTTTCCCCTTATACTTCAGGGTTTTTTCATTATGTCACAAAAATGTTATATTTATCAGTAGCTTTTTAGAAAACACTTGTATGGCAAGTTTTCTAACAGAAATAAGTTTTGTATCAATTAAAATTGCTCTTT